GGTTTAGACTAGACATGAGGAAATTCTTTACCCTGAGGGTGGTGAGGCACTGGAACAGGTTGCCCAGGGAGTCTGTGGATGCTCCATCCCTGGAAGTGTTCAAGGACAAGCTGGATGGGGCTCTGAGCAACCTGATCTAGTGGGTGATGTCCCTGCTATGGCAGGGGGGTTGGAACTAGATGATCTTTGAGGTCCTTTCCAACCTAAATCATTCTATGATTTTGTGATTTCCACTGGATTACTACCATGCCCACAAGTACTACATTGGCCTTTCCAGCTGATGCCTCATTCTTATTCAACGAGGCTCTTGTACAGAATTTAGCACGCATATAGTGAAACAAATTCTAAAGAAGATCAAATGCTACACATGCATCAAGGAATTTCACAAAGGTAAGAGTATTTCTTTGCATTTTAGATGAAAACGTACTTTGGAGACTACAAAGAGAGTAAAGAGAATCACACTATCGCTCACAAGGATGCTAAGTACTGTAGGTTTACAGGAAGACTCTGTCCTTTGCCAGTTTAGGTCTTAGTTAAAATCTTTCCATAATACTTTACTTAAATGGTGTGGTTTATACTATTTCTATTTAATGCTTGCAACATTCAATAGGTTTGTGTAAACAGGCATACATTGGATGTTTTCTAGATGCTGTTAAATCTACAAAATGTAAAAGCAAAAAAAGAAAATTGGCTTGAGAATCCTAGATCACAGAAAACATAACAGAAGCTGATGCTTCTGATAAATCTGAAATCCAGTCTCAACGAAGAGATCAGAAGCTAGCAAAACTTTAACAATTTTTAACAAAATTAGTAAATCAGTGTTTAAAAAGTGTTTAAATGATTAGTTCAAGGTTGCAGTGATATACATAGATGAAATAAATGAAAATATGTATCAATAACTTCAGAAGATATTGCATGGCAAGAGTGAAAAGGAGCCAAGCAGTGGCAAAAGTGATGCAGTGCAAATTGGTTTCAGAGTATGAAATTAGACTACTGAAGCAGTGTTATTCTACTAGCAGGCTACAGTCCCAACTAAAAAAAAACTTCTGGCAACATTTCTCACTGCTGCCCATGATAATATTAATTACTACCAGCTTTGCCAGCATTGATGCACATATCAAGTTTGGGAAACCACAGGCTGGATAACTTCAGTCCTTGAGTGTAAATAACAATTCTGATCAATTTAATTTGCACTATTTTTTTTTTAAAATGACATGAAGTAAATTCTCAACAATTTTTTTAGAGTACGCTACACCTACGATTGTCCAGCTAATGCAATGTAGTATTTCATTATTCTCACAGCACAATAATTCTTAACCGCTAGATGTATTTGCACCAGAAAAACCCTCATAAACTGCTCTCCCTTCTGCCATTTCTTGGGACCTGTCCTACCTGCCACCTTGCCTTTCCTCTCTCTCTGCCCAGCTGGTTGCCTCTGGCAGGGTGGACATGGCTGTCGCAGCACCCAGCACCTCTCCGGCTCCCACTGCTGCTCACTTCCAGCCTCTCCCATTCCTTTGGTGTGTCCTCTCCTCCCCAGCTCTCTAATCACCCTCAGTCTCAGCTGCTTGCTCTGCCAGGCTTGGGTGACCCTCTGTGCCCACCTGCATGGCTCCCTCCCTGGGACGCTGCTTCTTCTCCAGGAGGTCGCTGGTCTGACCCACCTGATGCTGACCAGTTGAGGGTGATCAGTTGTAACGGTGCCTCGGCCGTTTGCCCTGTTGGTCGTTGGTTACTGCTGATCCTTTTAAAAGTGCTTGATTAAAAAAAAAACAACAAACAAAACAACCTCCAAAAGCCAGAGAAGACAAACAAAAATAAAATTCAAACAAAAAAACCATTGAACACAGGGCACTTTTGGTCGGGCCCAGTTTAGGTGCTGGTTTGGTGCTGGGTGTGACTGAGGGAGGTAGCCCCACTTCCCTGCCTTGCCCTTGCCCAGGCCTGCTAGAGTGGAAGCTGTCAGCCACGCGGTCTAAGGCAGCAGCGGGGAAAAACTTAAATTAATAACCTAATTTAATACCATACAGCATAATAAGTGTTTTGTGGCAGAAGGCCACGTGTTAGTCCTGACCAGAGGTCGTACAAAACTGGATCCTTGGTTCGCAGATAATTGCACCAGTTCAACTGGAGACACAGCAAGCTGCAGAGGGAAAACAAGTGGGTAAGGAGAGAGAAAGGACTTGTTAAGGCAGTTTCTGCCTCTGAGGCCATTTGTTTTCCCAGTTACCTGCTGAAGTTGAGCTGCTCATCCAAGCTTGAAGAAGCAGGAGTAGTAAAGCTGAGGTCAGTTCTAACCAGGACTGGCCAATACAATGTTAAGAACAATAATCCACTTCTACACTGAATGATTAGTTACTTTCAAAATAATTACAACCTCAAAACTGTGTTTTAACACAGCCCTGGGGTGAAAACAAACTCAGAGAGAGAAGCTAGTAAGATTGTGAGGCTGAGTTGTTCTTTGGAGTGGAATTTCTTTAATTCTGCATCAAAACCACTTGAGTTTTCAAATTGATCCTTATTCCGGAAGAATGTAAATAACACAACTAAATCTTCTTCAGAATGAGAACCATACTGCATCTGCAGTCTTAATAGCTAAAAAAAAAATATGTTATTGCATTTTAGTTGAATTAAGTAAAGATGTTTTTTCAAAATATGCAATTTATTAATTTTCCTTTAGTCAAGGCAATAGATTGACATTTTTTTGAGTCAATAAAACACTGCTAACTTTAAGGCTTATTGAAGACTGTCAACTCCTTTATCATCAATATAGTTCTGTAGACTACCTGCAGAGCAATTATCTTGACCCTGCAGACTGCCAGAAGTCCAAGGGCTATAGTGAAGGAAGTACAGGGGTAGAGAACATAATGCTGAAAAGCAAACCACACCTTCTGTTTGGCCTGCCTAGATAAGCTGCCATCTTAAAGACTGCACAAATCACTTGCAATATATTCAGAAAAAACACAATAGTCTACATTGCCAACATCCTCATTAAAACATCCGAGTGCCTTTATTTATAAGGGAAAATAAATGTACATAACGATCTTGTTAGAGGCAATGGCTGTTGCATGCATACACTGTGACTTTTTTACACACGGTTGTAAACATCACAAGACTAGGAAACAAATAATTTTAATATACTTTCAATGTAATCAACAAAGTAAAGAAACATTTGAATCCTTAATGGAATTGAATTTAAGAACATTTACATTCTATTCATTTTTAATTGTACATTAGTAGTGAATAATTTTTGTAAGGAAAACAGTGTGTCCATGTTCTAGGTCAGGAATCTAAAATCCTGAAAAAGAAAAAAAAAAGCTTCAGCTGTTGGTATGATATAACACTACTTAAATTATGAGACAGATGTAAGGTATATTAGAAAACGGAGCACTATAATATTAGCTATTGGGAAACATATTTATATCTCTCCAGAGAGCTGAACGATTTGAAACTAATCCCTGAAGTCTATACTTAGTTTCAGTGTGAGTTTTCTTCAGATTACTCCCAGGATGTCAATATGTATTTGATAGGTAGGTGAATCAGTTCTTCCTGACATACACTAATCATCATAGTTAACTTTCCAAAATGTTTACAGGTCTGTTTTGGGTTTTTTTTCCATTTCTTGCTGCCTGAAACAGCTCTGTGTTCTCTGCTCTAGGAACTGAGTACCTACAGCTTTTATTCAGTTCACCTGAAGACACCTGAATTTAGCACATCCAGGAGAATCTAGTCTGCAGAAATCTTAAGTTGACAAAACAGTTAAATGCCTTCTGAGACTAATTCTCAATATAAATATTGTGCCCTGTCTGTATAAAAATGAACTAATTTGAATATAGATTGTGATTAAAAGCATTAAATAAATACCTCCTTAGCGAAAATCCACTGATCTCCTTCCGTTGCGTGGCTGAAAGACAGATATCCAACAAGTGCTCTATAAAACTGACTGCTTTCGGAAACAAAGCCCCACCCAATGTGGTACGTATAGAAAATGGGAAACTTCTCATTTCTGTCAATGTGATAATCTCTAAAGATAAACCTGAAACCAGTTATTTTTTAATGTATATCCACGTCTGGAGGAGAATTATACATTAAAAATTACTGTAGAGAGATTGAAGAATTAATCATGCCCATCTTGTGATTTTTTAGGGGGGAGAAACCCACATGAAGTCACTCTAAGAGACCATTGTCCCTCATTCTTTTTGCATTTTTTTAAGATATGCTTCCAGGTTGTTCTTATTACTGCATTATGTTTGCTACAATTAACAAATAAATACATGTCACTTGATTTTATTTTTAGACTGTGTTCTTTAGCATAAGCAACATTTCTCCCTTTTCACTATGGTCATTTTAGAAATGTTTTGCACTACAAAGGGACTTGATACAATGTCTATTAAAGGTGATAAAAAAATCTCTCGCTGAGCTTTAATAAGAATTTGCTTTTCACTCCGGCATCATAAATGCATTGATGTTAATATTACCCATAACTTTAGCCTGTCATAAGAACTGTAAAGATCCAATCCTGATACATAAGAAATATAATCATACAAACTTGCCTTCTTTTCATTAGTCAGGTTCTTATTTAAATAAAAAAAGATTAACCAAAATCAAGATAGTTAAGTTTGACTTGTCATCTTTAACTTGCTCGATTTTGCAAAAATGGAGTAAAAAAGCTCTGTGACATCAAAGATGAACAAAGTACTTTCATTCTCATGAGAGCTTCTGTATCTAGTTTCCAATCTTATTGGTGAAAATACAAGGAAAACGGGAAGGTCAGGTCCAGAAGCTGTTTTTATATAGTGTGTAAGGATGGCATCACATTTATATCACATGCAGACATACCATATAGAAAAATGCTTTAGAAGGAATGTCTAACATGGCATCTTTTCTAAAACTTTCTCTGAGAATTATATACATAATAACCAACAACTTATTAAGGCATAGTGTGGTGTCACATATATACAAACTTTAAGATGCATGAAAAAGCTTCCTACCATGCCTTTATTTTAATCCAAGAAAACGTCTAGACCAGATCTTGAGTAGTCTTATTCAGTGGGATGCTCTTATTGAAACAAGTTTCCTCAGCCACAGTAATTCTTACTGTAATTCATTGGTTTATCTACCTTTTGTTTTGTAACGCTCATCACAAAGCGAAAATGAAAAAAGCCAAACAAACCATACCCTGTAGAAAAAGTAGCCTCTACTTTGAATCCCTCCAGGACCTTGAAGTTCTTCCTGAAAAAAAAAAAAAGAAGGTCTTTTAAATCATATCTACTCTTTAAGTGAATCCATATAGAAAGTTTTTTTATGTAATACTGTATGTATTTCTTCAATACTATTATACAGTCTTGGCCCTTTAGGCATACTTTATATATATTTCTCCTCGTCAGTAACAAGTTTGGGTTGTCATGTAGAAATAGCAAAAAACCCACACAAATGAGGGCCAAATTCCACCTTAAGTTTTGGCTCATTTCAGACTGCTTTACTAGCAATGATGAGCAGCCTTTGCCTTCAACGTCCCAGATTTCATTACGCAGCCACAACCAGAGTGTCTTCATGGTAACAGAGTCTCTACGGACAAGGTAGAGTTGGCCTTTGCACCTCACAGAAGGACAACAGTACAAATCTTAAAAAACACAAATACTTGGACTCCAGCCCAGTAGAAAGATCCCAGACTGCTCCCAGAGGTGTATCACAATAACCCCTCTCAGATGAACCCCTGAAGAAAGGACCAGATGGCTCCCACCATTTCCAAACACAGGAGTAAGTTCAATCCAAGGAAGCTTTCAGATGAAGTAGGATTTAAACTATACATTATTTTTTGAGTCTTATTTTTTATTTTGACTCCAGTTCATCAGATACACCATGATACCCAGTTTCTTTGCTGTGGGTAAAACATGCATATGACTTTTATTCCTACTGGCTGCCTCATTCTAGCATTACCTGGATTTGAAATACCCACCTCAGATCTGTCAGTACTACAGAGATTTTTAATTTGAAAAGGCTAGTAGTATTTTGTGCGTTTCCATTGGCATGTGTAACAGTATTTATGTTTTATTCTTTCATTTTATATTTCATATTTTCTATTCAATGTGTGAACAATAATAGCAAAATAGGCAGCTGTTGCAAGTTATTGCAAGGAAATTGATCCTAAACATTAAAGGACTCGAGAATACAATTATTGATATGGAATTATGACTTATTTTATGGACTTCTAGCAAAATGGGCAGCTATTGCAAGTTAAGGAAATCGATCTAAAACATTAAAGGACTCAAGAATACAATTATTGATATGGAATTATGACTTATTTTATGGACTTCTAACTTGTTAATACCTCATTCTCTACTTAGAACCAGACTTCTCTTAAAGATACAGTTTCTTGGTTTGATTTCATGTCACAAGGTTGATATTAGAAAACAACTGAAGCTAAAATCTGTCTTCATCCTAATACTTGCCTCATAACTTCAAAGGGTTTGGAGGTGTATTAAAAAAACCAGACTAAATAGGCAACAAAATGGTCCTGTGTCTTCTGTCTTAGATCATATTATATTAGTCAAGGTGGAGGTCAAGAGGAATTAAATTCATGACAAAATCTGGTGTCATCCCAGACTTGGAAGAAAGAATAAATTTAAATAAAGCACCTCTACTCCAGCTTTTCAATTCCTTGTCTGGTAAGGGAAGAGAAGTCACAGTCACTGACACCAGAGTCAGACAGTCCAACCAAAGGTGGGCAGCCTGCAGGAGCATGGAGGCTTCCTGCTCCTTGGGGGGGTCAGAGTTCCTCTGCGCAGCTTAGGCAGAGGTGCTCTGATGCCTTACTGGCTTTAAAGTATGCCAAGGCCAAGGGGATCCTGGGGTGCATTAAGAAAAGTGTGTCCAGCAGGTCTAGGGAGGTTCTTCCCCCGCACGCACTCTGCTCTGGTGAGACCACAGCTGGAATACTGTGTCCAGTTTTGGGCTCCCCAGTTCAAGAGAAACAGGGACCTACTGGAGAGAGTCCAACAGAGAGCTACGAGGATGATTAAGGGACATGAACATCTCTCCTATGAAGAGGGACTGAGAGAACTGGGGCTGTTCAGCCTTGAGAGGAGATGGCTGAGAGGGGATCTTACTAACGTATATAAATATCTGAGGGGTGAGTGTCAAGAGGAAGGAGACAATCTCTTCTCGGTGGTGCCCAGCAATAGAACAAGAAATAATAGGTACAAGCTAGAACATAGGAAGTTCCACCTCAACATGAGGAGAAACTTGTTCACTGTAAGGGTGACAGAGCACTGGCACAGGCTGCCCAGAGAGGGTGTGGAGGCTCCTTCTCCGCAGACTTTAAACACCCACCTGGACGCGTTCCTGTGTGGCTGCCCTAGGGGATCCTGCTCAGGCAGGGGGGTTGGACTAGAACATTTCTAGATATCCCTTCCTACCCCTAATATTCTGTGATTATATGATATCCCCATCAGCCCATCTGAGAAAGACAGGTTAATATCTTTCCCACAGTCATAGAATACTTGCACTACTTTTAAATTGATGGCAAATTATTTCAGTATTGTTGTGGGTTTTTTTAAATTTGCTTCTAAACTGCTATGACCCTCATGAATAACACTTAGAGAGAATTTTAAACACTTTTAAACACCTAAATATTTTTAAACAACTAAATATGCCATATAAACAAATATGATAAGCATACTATGGATGAATTTCAAGGATTTATTACGACATGAAAATAGATAAAGTGCATGCAAAACCACCAAAACCAAAAGAGTCTGCAAACAAAGTTGATTCCAGAAGATGGTATCATTTTGTAAATTTCTGGTGTTTATGCACTATACAACAGTATATAACACCTTTTAAAAGGTGTCTGGTATTCAGAGTAGGAACTGACAAGAGGAAATAAAGTTGCTTTCTATAAAATGTAGTTGAACTTAGAGCTGTTTTCATTATTTCTTTAGATTTTATATTGGGTTTATGAACATTTTAAAATATGTATACTCTGTAAGTTGGCTTCAACCTTACAGAAGAAAATATATTCAAGTGTGTATATAGTATCACACATTCTCCTTGGTGCTTAATGAGCTCTTCACTTGGTAGGACTAAATACCAAATAATAAAATATTCCAAAATAAATAACCATTAAAACATCTAGGGGAAAAAAATCAAAGGTGGTTAAATCCATTAATGACTATTTTGCATAATGGTCCAGCCTTCAGCCAGAAGCTAGAGAATATATGAGGGGACTGATCTCTCCACGCTGCCCCTGGTCCTGCCACATTTTTCCTGCCTATGCTCAGCAGAACACTGCTTGGCACAGGATACCAGACTGATGAAAACATAGCCTGAACTAGTGTGGCTTTTGTTGTTGCACCTTCTTTCTTTAAAAATTCTATTATGACAGGACTGTGACAATTCTACATTCCATTCCTCTTCAAACAAATCCTAGTTAAGACTGCAGCCCTTATGCTGCTTAAGGACTGATCAAGTTACTGCACCATCCACTTTAATGTAATCCAATTATCCATGATAGCACTGACTAATCTAGGGGATTCCCATACCTGTAGTTCACCAAATACGGGTTACTGTTGCTCATTATGGAAGCTGAAATTTTCACAAATCCTGCATTCACTTTTAGCTGGAATTACAATGCTTATGTAGCAAAGAACCTAGCACTGAGCATGTCAGCAGTCTCACTAATGAAATAATGACCTTAGTTTTGCACATGCTTGTGTATTTAGCTGAATTAACATGTAAGCACAAGCGTAACATCATGATTATAAACTAAAGACTGACAGTTCTCACACTGCAGAGTGGGTGGAATTCTAACTTGTTATTTCCATGTACCACTAGTTATGAGCACATGGGTAATAGAAATAGTAGGAGGCAGGTTTTCTTAAAATTAGCCACTTGAGAAGATGACTAAGGAAACACATAATACTTACCATCATTCATTCATCCTTATTTTAAAAATCTGATGAAAATAAGGTACTTTACAAAAAGAAGCTTGATAAAATGTTTGCCTTCTGCCACAAAGTTTTATTAGCCTGCTCTGGCCTCATTCGCCAATACTATAGAATTTTGTCTTTTTTTAAATTTCCTTTGGAAAAAATATTTCCAAACACTGTACTAAAAAAAGGTCTTTTTAAATTGGTGTATGCTTACACTTTATATCAGTTAGCTAGTATATTTTTAAAGATTTTTTTTAGGATTTGTAGAGGATGGACTTTGATGTTTCTTTGATGCAGAAGGTAAGTCTTTGAATTGTCACATGATGTCTTGACAGCTCTTAAACAGAAACAATTTATTAAACTCATTTATGAGTTGTTACAAGTGGAGCGACTCCAAATATATATAAAAAGACACACGACCTGACTGATAATGCTCTGTAGAGTTTGGTATTGATGCTATTATTACTTGGAAAACTATCCCTGTAGCTGATTTTTTGGGACAACTAAAACCAAAACTGCAATGAAGAGGCTGAAATATGTTAGAATCTGCCAAATATGCTACAAATATTAGTTACTGTTGGTTACTTAACTTATTTTATTTCCATTAGTTATGCCATCAACCTTAATGGAAATAAATTCAGGATATTGAAGTATTCTAGAAAAATACATTTATTTGATTTTAAAGTTTGTTTTCAATTACAGCAATTTTGTGTTCTTGCATTTATACTTTCCTTCCAATTCTTTGTCTTACTTGATATGTATGTTCATTTAAAAGCACAAAGACCCATTACAAGAATATTCTTTGCGAGTGTATAGACCCAACAGCATAAATTAAGTTCATGTCATTGTCATCACAGGAAGTAAATTTTAGCCTATGTCTTCCTTTCAGATGCCTAGTGGGTTAAAATTTTCATCACAATTTCAGTCCATGAGAAGATATATCAACTTTGATCTTATATGTGGCCAGGTTCTGGCATTGGATAAGAAAAATGTGATTCAGGGCGGTTGGGCTCGGATTACAGAGGGGTAGATAGTATTACCAACCATGACCACGACTAGACCAAAGCTGACATACACAATCACAGGATTAAGAGTTCATTGAAAATTCGGGAGTTAACAACACAATCTTCATCTGGATTGATAAAGTAAAAGTCCTACTTACAGGAATAGGTTTAAGTATCACATTCATACACCTAATTTAACTTGTGTATCAGTGAATATAAGCAATCATATCAATGAATCTAAGGAGTAACTAAGCTGAAATCAGTGTAAAACAGGAAGAATCTGGGTCATAGATTTTGGTATGCTTTATTATACATGAATCTTCAGTATTCTCATAGAGAAAGAGTCTTATATAAGAAGTTGCACTTTTCTCGTCTCTCCATAGCAGTATTAAAGAGACTAACATTGATAGCCATCTGCTGTTTCAATTTTCAAAATCTGAAATTGCATTTTCAGCAAATATACCCAAATTCTATGATATTTGGAAACAATGGGGCTGCTTCTTATTTGTACCTTAAGTTAAACAGCAAAATTGCCTATAAATTACTTGGAAATTCTTAGTGCTATAAGTAATAAATAATATATGTTTAAGGAATAGGTGTAGTCTGAATTCCAAAAGGAGAATAAAAAGAACTCCCTAGAAAATATAACTCAACTGCAATAAATGATGCAGATAAATTTGAAAGTACTTTTCTTTTCATAAAATAACTAAAAGATCCATTTTCATATTTAGGCTCTTTGTTCTGTGCCAAGCCTATATTACTTCAGTGTTTTTTTGTTTTAAAATGTTAAATATCAGCAGGCTTATTTTTTACTAATAAAAGAATATAAAACCCCTCTACATTTCTAGTGAAAATACACTACTGGGCTATTAAATCATGAAAATAAAAGTGCTATGAGCGGAAAGGTCTACAAGGATGTTTCTAGAAGAACTCAAAATGCTAGAATGCAAGCATGCAGAGTTTAAGATTACATACGTCCACTTTGTATCTCTTCAGTCTTCTCTCATTAAGCTGGGGAACGAGTTGCAGCAAAGGATGCAGGACAGACGACTGAGAGGACACGAACACAGACACATGAGCAATGATGAAATTTAGGCTTATGATGCAAAAAAAGTCTCTTCCTGCTGTATCATCTTAAGGACCAAACACACACCAAAAAAGAACCGGAGATGTTAACTGAGAAACTTAGTTTTTGAACATTCTGACTTGACAACAAGCAGGTGCCAACATTCATATTTACACTATGAATGTGAGTCACAGATGATGGAGGCAAAAGCTACGCATCCTCATTGAAAGTTCAGAACTGTTTACAGATTTCTTGGCCAGGCAATTGCAATCTTTCAGACTCTGTGAGTGGTACAGAGAATATTTCCGTACAGCATTCCTACTAACATATCTATGATTATCTACTATGGAAGTCAGCAGCTTCATTCCCAGTTGTACTGTAAAGTTCATTTTACTTCAAAATAACCTAAATTACAGCAAGAAAAAATTTAGGTTTTTTGCTTGAAAACAGTATGCAGGAGGGATTCATTCTCAAGTAAAATTTGTAACCATGGCACTGGTCACTCTACCGAGAAGACAAACTCCAGTTGTGAAATTCCTATTGCAGACAGCCTACATAAGCACAGTGTCATTGTGTGCAGCGTGTGCCTCCTAGTAAAATCCAACCATTTGGACTTGTGGAGAGAGATCCACAGCGAGAAATAAAATAGAAAACTCATGTTCCATCAACCAATTAAGACGTAACTCACCTAAACATAACTTTAAAAATAGTGCATTTTTGGTAAAATACTTCTTAGAAAAGTAACACAATGAAGAGACTTATAATATATGGAATAATGAGAGTTACCCAAGTGTTAACGTACTTAATAGGTAAAATGAAGTTGCCTGGTGGAGCCATTTTTGCCTGCCCAAAGCAAGCAATTTGGCATCATAATATCTAAAAAAGTAGAAGTCTGATGTGGGTGGAGGAATTAAAAGGGCATCCCAGATGGTCACTTGGACTCTCACTTGCAGTCAGTGAAGAGAGGTTAATAAAGCCAAAGAATGATGGATCCCACCTAAGTCAGTATCTCTGAGAACTGGTCTAGAAAATAGTCACCTGAACAGCTAAACCAGAAAAAGTGAGAAAGCACGAATCTCTGGGGACAGGCAGGGGCAAAAGTATTCAGGACGGAGATGAAGTGGGATGCAGTAACCTCTTAAGCAGGAGGAGCAGCAGAACTAGTTTATTTGACTCTGTCCTGATTACCATTCAAATCTCCAGAGCAGTTCTGTCATGAAAGCACTGACCCTCATATCAGTAATAACACTTTCTAGGAAAAATAACAAATATTTCTGAAGAAATGTAAAGAGCAAGGCAAAAATGAACATTAACATATAAGAATGACCCTTACGAAATTAGAAAAAAATGAATATGTTTAACTTTGTCAAAATCCTAACATGCACAGAAAAAACACATAGATGCACAGAAATAACAGATCATGTTTTCACTTTAAAAGCGGATCACATGTGGTTTTGCTTATATTGTTGGCTTATGAGAATACTTTTATAGCAACGATACTAAGCTATTTTTAAAATCATATTTTTCATGAAAAATGTAATTTAAAGTCCGAGTGAGACTTAAATACTATTTTGCCTGATACATTCTATTAAATTGCACAAATAAATACACACAATTTAAATAATAATTAATAAAAATCTGTTAAGAGTTCTTGATATTTTGGGTCATATTCTCATCTTCTATAAATCTACATAATTTCATTCCATGTATTATGTTCCAGTACCAGAAACAAGCATTTGTTCCTATCCTTAAATTTTGTAACTGCAAGTTTGAGATGCAATTAGGATTCTATGAGTGTTTGGTCAGGGTTTTTTGTACCTCTGGGCAGTATTGATGACCCTCTTCCATGTTACTAACATACATTCTACATCTTAAACACAAAGCTCCCAGTTCTGAGCTTGCTACACAAGTGGAGAGACTACTGCAAAAAGGAACATGACTTTGGTTTAATGTACAAGCACACGTGTACTCACAAGGAGATGCTATGCCACTTACCATGATGTCTGAGTTGCCTGAGTCATGAGTCTTAGAATAATGAAATAAGAACTGTTTAAAAAAATTAAAAGTGTGGTTTTACTACAAACCAGGGCAAGGGTGTTAGGATTTTCTTGACAATTTTAGTGTGATCATGAAACAGACATAGAAATCTTACCCTTTTGGTGTTGTCTTTTTCATCTAAGCCCTGTAAGAATAATAATTGGTAGAGAAGCTTTTATTTGTAAAGAAAAAAAAGCAATGGGCAATTTTGATTACATCACAAACTTTTTTTTTCTTCAGATTATATTCTAAACTTTTCATCCTTCCTTGACAGATCTATTAGATGTCTTTGCTTATCAATGTAACTACTCATGTCCATTTTTAACTCAAGTCATTTTTCCTTGTGTCCAATCTAAACCTCCCCTGGCATAACTTCAGGCCATTTCCTCTTGTCCTATCGCTTGTTCCTTGGGAGAAGAGACCGACTCCACCTTTCTACAACCTCCTACCAGAGGCTGGAGAACAGTAAGGCCAGTCATGTCCTGGGCACATCCAGAGCAGCGTGGCCAGCAAGGCCAGGGAGGGGATGAGGGGATTTCTGCCCCTCTGCTCCGCTCTGGTGAGACCCCTCCTGCAGTTCTGTGTCCAGCTCTGGGGTCCTCAGCACAAGAAGGACATGGACCTGTTGGAGCAGGTCCAGGGGAGGCCACGAAGATGCCCAGGGGCTGGAGCACCTCCCCTGTGAGGACAGGCTGAGAGTTGGGGCTGTTCAGCCTGGAGAAAAGAAGGCTCCTAAGGGGGAGACCTTATAGCAGCTTCCCAGTACCTGAAAGGGCTACAGGAAAGCTGGGGAGGAGCTGTTCACAAGGGTGTATAGTGACAGGATGAGGGTCAATTGTTTCAAATTAGAGCAGGGTAGATTTAGATTTGATATCAGGAAGAAGTTCTTTACTATGAGGGTGGTGAGACCATGGAACAGGTTGCCCAGAGAGGTGGTGGAGGCCCCGTCCCTGGAGCCATCCCAGGTCAGGTTGAACAGGGCTCTGAGCAACCTGATCTAGTTGAAGATGTCCCTGCTCACTGCAGGGAGGTTGGACTAGATGACCTTTAAAGATCCTTTCCAGGCCAACACATTCTATGATTCTACGATTCTACGATTCTATGATACTCCTTTCAAACACTGTAGAGAGCACTGATTACTTGCCAGTAGAAGAGCTGATGGGTTTAGCAGATGCTCCCTTGTATATCTGTAGATCTTCCTTAGTAAAATCCTTTCTCCACTGAGAGATCATAATTTTTCTAATCTAGAGCAACAGAAACACCTGAAACCTTATATCCAACCTGGAGATTATTTTCCAAACATTAGAATCTCCCCATTATCTTTAATAGTGTTGGATTAAGACACATAGCATTTCAGAGTATGAACTGGTAGTACTACTTCCAGCACCGACTGACACATCAGATACTGGGTCCTCAGAATTCAGTGTAGACACTGGCGCACTGAGAGCTCAGGCTTCAGAAACGATGCGTAGTCTTTCATGTGTGTTACCTGTGGTTTCTGGAGAAATCCCATCACCATAAAACAAAGCTCTTCCAGTGCACTGGATGCCTAATTCAAAGAGAACATGAACTCAGGTATTACACTTCCAATACTACTATATACGACAAATAGTACCAAAATAATAAAGTAACCTCTGTCTAACTCACCTGAGGCTCAGTATCTCTGGACACGTGGGCAGAGCACGCATCATCTATCTGTAAAAGTTCACACCGTTGTTTTTTTAAGAAGTCAGATAAATAAAAGCAAATGAAATATGTGTATTTTCAGAAACAGTTCAGTGCAGCTAAAGGCATGGCAAGCTTGAATGCCATAAGTGATCCTTACAGGCACGCTTACAGATGAAATATTTTATATTCAAGAGGGAAAAAAAGCCCTTAACTATATAAATTTATACTTGCTTGAACTGAACAAACACATACATATGTGTCCTTTATTCTCTTACCTGCCTCATGCCCTCCTTACTTGTAACCTTCTCAGACTAAGTCAGATTTTAAATTCTGATTTTAAGCATCTGTGGAACGGACTATGAACTTAAACCTCTTCTGTGATATCTTTGTATTATATGAAGCTCTGAAAAAATGACGAAACTAAAGGGAATGATTCAATAAGCAGTCCTCAAACACAGCTCTTCCATTTGGGCCCCAGCATCCCCACAGATGTACGACACATGCATCTCTTGAGTGATTATGATAAGCACCAGCACATCTTATGCATGCCCATCAATTTGTTTGAGTCACCAAGCAGCCAATTTTAAATTTTGTTTAAAGGAGGTGGTTGCCAAGTCACAATGCGAGCAAGAGATATATTTATTATATTTCAAGGGATCTAAACTCAAAGAGCACTGTGGAAGAGGACATTGCTGTTGAATTTAAACATGTCAGCACAGAATGGAATGTTACGCACATTATATAACGTTAAAATTGTATCAGTAATAACCTGCATTGGTATGCGCTATTTCTTCCATTGAATATTTGATTCTGTTTGTGTAGATGCCAAAAAGCTCTGCCAGTCATCTAGTTTACAGACTGCTTTAAAAAATACTGGTTTTTTTATACAAAGAGTAGGTAATGCAATGAGTCTTATGATTTTATTAGAGGCAAAAAGCCCTAAATAACGCTCTTTAGCAATGAAAACAAATGAAAAAAGCAATAAAAAAACCAATGCATATCTGAAAGATGATTCATTTCTCAAGAGACAATATGCAAGAAAGCATTAGCAGAGATAGTGCGAAAGCTAATAGCTCACAGAATTCCCCCTTCAAATAGTTTTTTTTGGCAACACATCTTCCCCATTCTCTCTTCCCTTCATCTTTCAGTTGTTTGTCACTGGATATATTAGTTCAGCTTCACTACTTTCAGAATAAGAAAACGTAGTGTGAAAAATCAGCAGTGAATGACATAAAATAAAGTGAAGTAATTTTAGTAACCTAAATTAGAACTTCGGCCATTTCTTCTTGGTAAGGGAATTTTTGTTGGGTTTTTTGTTTATTTGCTTGTTTGGTCAGTGGAGGTGACTCTTGTAGAAGTACCAGAATTCAGTAGAAGGATGAGGCAGAGACTACTTTGTGTTGGACACAATGCAAGACAAGGTTTCTCTCAGCTAAAACCTACATGGACAAAGCAAGAGCTGAGCTAAAGCCACAGTTTCTGTTAATTCTTTTTAAAAATAAAATAAAATATTAATAGTTTCTATCATCCTCGATGCATCTTCTCAGTAATCTTCTCTCTAGTCTCAGGAATAACAATACTTAGTTACAAATTTCCAATACTTATAAGCTTAGAGTAATTCCTGGGAAATATTAGGTCAATTTAGAGGCAAGGCTTCTCCTGAATGATCCACTAATAAAGTAACTGACAGCGAAAAACTGATTGTTTTCACTCCAAGAAACTCTGGTGAATTAGTACAGTTCTGTCATCAGGTTGATTCAGGTTATATAACTAGGCATCTAATTCTCTTTCTTTAGACCCTCTCCAGTCCTGCATTACTCATGTTATAACACTTAAGTTTTATATTGCTTGTGTTAGGTACTTTTACAATCAATTTACTAACTTATGCATAATTTTTTGTTCACTGAAGTCAATGGAAACTTTTTGCCCGCAGCTGGCACAGGGACAAATCCTGTGCTACCGCTAGCAAATCTTAGCAATAAATGCAGAAATTTATAAAATAACATTTTTCAGTCCAGAATGTAACGCATTTTCATGAACTCCTTAAAGCTATCAGGACCACAAGACCACTTTTCCACAGGAGATAAATATCACCAGGGCTTGTTTAAGTGCCAGTCTAGAAATATGTTAGTGTTTGAGTCAATACTTCCAAAATGAACTAAGGGGAGCTGACAGTAAGGGATGTAATAGCTGCAATAGGAAGAAATTTACTCTCTGCAACTCTACCTTGGTGAACCACTTGTTTTTTAATGTTATCAGAAGCTACAAAATTAAATGTCAACAGAATACTTGAAGGTTACAACACCTTCAAGTTGCAGGCTAAGCCCTGAGTGTTATGCCCTGCTTCTCCAGGGGGAGAAGGGAAGAGCAGGGAAGAGCCCATGTTAACACATGTCACATCCTAGAGGCAAAACAGATGTTCATTTCAAAGAGAGTGGAAGTTATGACAGCAATCAGCAGTAAAATTGGGGGGTGCTAATTGTCACTGTAGGTTAACCTTTAGTAAACTGAGAGGCAAAGGTAGGATTAGATACAGTGTCCCAGTCCTGCGTGCACAACAGAAGCAGCAAGAGGTAAGACTGGATGAGTTGAAACAATTCCTGTGTATTGTGTGCGGGCTATAAAACTACCAGATAGGGACACTGTTGCTTCCAGGCAGAGCAACTGCCTGGTCACTGGCAGTTAAATGACAATTGTTATCAAAGGTCACTCTCCATTGAGCAAGACGGTCTTTTCCCAGAACAACATCTCAATACTCAGCTTCAACATCCTCCTGGAACAACTGTTCAGAAAATCTGGAAAATAAGATGTTTTACCTCTTCACTGATGTCAAGATAGGAGATATACAGGAGAAGCAGGGCTGGAAGAGGAAGCACTCCATGCAAGTGAAATACTGGGGGGTGAGGTGTGACTGTATCAAGGATGGGCACAGAAGAAATGGGAATATACCAAGTGGCAGGTGATGCTTACCTCTTTCCATAGCTGCAAATCCTCATCTGCCTCGAGTGCTTGGGAGGGCATTGGTACACCTGGAAGCACAAACCACACTCAGTATAATGCTGCACAGCAAAGGCCATTTGTATAAGTATGCTGTGCCAGTGATTTAAATAAAACTTCTGAACTCTTATTAACTGCAAAGTCTGAGAGCTGTGAGGTCCGAGGAAGTCTGCTGTCTCGGGTGTTGTAAGGTGTGTCCAGCAGTTCCTGCCCGCTTTTATGTTAGCAACACAGCAGGAGGTTTCTTGACAAGTTCACAGCAGATGCAGATGCTCACATCTCTTAGGAATAAACAGTGTGGCAGATATGCAGGTTTCACTGAGGGTCAGGCTAGCATTAGTCCATTCTCAATGACAAGTAGCAGGCAAGAAAATTTGTATCGCAGCTCTTGAATGCCAAGACCTGCTCAGGAAAACACATTCCAGTACCTACAGCGTAGAGCTCTCTGAGAACTCAGCTGACCTCCAGCACACATATCACAAGCTGAGAATGTACACTTGCAAATGAATAATGCCCATGATATAAACATGATTTTTATTAGATGATAGAGGTGACAGTACATTTATAACTGGCTTTGTTTCCTGTTTGGCATATATGATGTGGAAGAACTCAGTCCCTTAGAAGATGAGATGTGTTACTAACTGCATAATGCTGCAGTGATGATGCTGTGCTTGGCTTTTTGAGCAGCAGCTTTCTCCTTCTCTGCCCACCCAGACTGCAGGCATGGAAGTCATTGTCTCGGAGTCCCTCCCAACTCAGTGCCCAGAATATCCACATTTGCATGTCATTATTTTATTTGGCAGTATATTTCTAACAGCAATGTATTATCAGAGTATCTGTTAATAGCATCACTGGACTGTGAGTACACTAGACACCACACAAGAATATCAGTGAGGGGATGTGTTGTAACTCACTGCAGAGGGAGATTGGTGCTGGAGAGGCTGATGCTTTACCTGTACGGTTCTAGCACTGTGGGAAACCCTACAAAGTCATCTAATTTATCCTCCTGCCCAAAGTTGCAGCTCATGAGCCATGTCTAAACAGTTTATACACTGTTCTTAAAGACCTCAGATTAGAAGGGATTTTATAACCTCCTGGGCAGTCTATAATTACTTGTGGTCACTTTTTTTTTATTTTGGCAAAGAATTGAACAAAATTAAACAAAAAACAGATGAAAGCACACTTAGCTAGAATGGCCAGGTAAGTAAGGTGTGAATGCGCATCACTTCCATTTGTTTTAAATGTACCACTAATAACAATAATTATAACAGTAGTTAGTTTCAGGCATTTAGGGGTTGATTTCAAAAGCACATTTTGGTAGTGGCACAGACTTAAGGTGACTAACTGTTCTGGATGCTTGTTTTTCCCCCCAAAAAAAAGAATTAGAGAGGCTTTTAATATCACACTATATAGAAGTGGGATATTTTTGGAATCTCTGGGATGTTCACATAACAAGAAAACTGCTTTCCAACGAAAAATCTGCGCTTTTTTGATGATTGCTTTAGTTGAATGAATAATGCCAAATAAATGAAAGGTACTACAATTCTCTTACATTGTTTTCTATTCTTAAATTAGTATATTCAAATTAGAGTATTGCCTGTGACTGGTAGACTGTTTTCAAATAGCAACATTTCAAATTAACACACCTTCTCCACTAAACCTTGTCTGCCTGTCTCTGAATACTGTTTCGGCTATTGCCTCATTCCCAAAGCTTTCCAGGGAGAGTAAATGAAATCAAATAGCCTGTAAGGCTTAGAGCAGCAGGAAAGAAAGTCTTAATATTACAGCTTACTTTTGCCTTTTTTTTCTTCTTTTTTGCCTGAAGCAAAAAATTTTGGACGGAGGACATGCAGTTATTTCACCATCTCCTAGGACTTCCTTAACCCTTTTCCACTTATTCACAAAATTCTGATTTCACGTGCACTCCCACCTGTTCTGTCTCACACCAAGGACTATGTGCCCCCCTCAGTGCTGAGTCACATCCCTCCATCACCCCAGTCATATCAAAGAAAGGATAAGTTGTTTTGTAATATATACAAAATAATCATAGCAGGGGAGGGAGAGTGCAATTGAGGAAAAAAAATCCTATTCAGAAAGAACATGAAAGAGAAAATCCTCCTACAAAATTGACACTGTGACACTTTTAGTCTCTTATCCTTTGGTTCTGTGAACTTCTAAAAACTCAGCTTTTTCCAAAGAGCATCATAGTGCCAGATGCACCGTTTCAGTCACTTTTCAATACAGGATTCACTTCTTACATCTTCTCTCCCTCCCAATGCTCTCGCTACACAAACTCGTAGCAATTATTTCTATGAGAACAATGATGAAATACTCTGTGCCATCTCCTTCCCTTGCCCTCCTTTTCCTTTCCTCCCCTCTTCCACATCTCCAGAATGTACTTAGATTTCTTTGAGTCTTGACATAAAAAAACCCCTAGGAATCAATTCACACATAATACAAACAACACAGAAATATCCCTTGCATAACAACTTATTTCGTAATGTTATTTCACAGGGTGTTAAGTATCTGGATTTCCCACTCTCTGGAGCAGGACAATAGAATAGAAAAGATAATACATTTTGTTGAAAAGCCAATTAGCTATGCTTGTTTCACAAGCACTGTCTGCTGCAAAAATAGTAATTTCCAGGTGTAAGACATTTCAAATCAAAGCTTTTCCGCTCGATCCCACCCCCAGGGATTCCTCGTGCAATAAATACTATAGGTTGGACTAAGTGACATCCAGAGGGTCCTACATTTTCCTACAATTCCCTGCTACATCTCGTCTCTTTTCTTAGCTTCTTGAATCAAAGTAATTTAAATTTAAATCGCTTTTTAACAAAACCCACTTCCCCAAATTGTTGGAGCGTAGTTTTGCCAGGATAGGGTAATCCTGCCGGGGTAAACGCAGAAGCCCCCTCCAAAACCAACCCCCCGAAACCGTTCCCAGCAGCTGGAACGCCTCC